GGAGGGATTTGGTGGGTTTAAACTCCCACACATTTTAAGGTGGCAATTTTTGGACAACACTGAAATAAGCATTCAGGTTTCTACAGCTTGGAGGAGGAAAATATGCATAAAAATGATGTTATGGTCAAAATACTCACTTGCCTAATAATTGTGCACGCAGTGTATATTGAAATATTACAAAGCAACATCAGAAATCACATTGCAAACATTTGTCTTGAGATACTTAATATCTAAAGAATGGAATGGAAATATTAGAAAAGTAGAAGAGAATTGCCAGGAATGGGTAAATGGAAAAGAAGACAAGATTTTAGGATAAGTTTTAACTTAAGACCCATTAAACCCAGAGACAGAAATCCCCTTCCAACTTAAATAAAGTAGTCCTAACACATTTTCCTTGACATTCCTTGTTTCTATGATTAGCCCCTGCCTTCTTCCAGCTGTGTGGAAAGTTGTCTAACTGGATTCCACAAGATGGCTCAAAGAGGGAAGCCCATGTGCTGTTACAACTGTGTTCCTTGCGCAGAAGGGACCATCTCTGCTCAGGAAGGTGAGTGACTCTGAAGGGAATGACAGTCCTTGAGAAAATGAATTCACCTAACATTTCCTCATACAACAGCTCTCACTGCATTGTTTCCTCTTTCTGTCGTTTGTTACTTTCATAGATCTAGATGGCACCCCCTTCTCTAGAGGGAGAAGGAATTTGCCCTCCTTTTCAAAAGCCATTACCTTCCAATTCTTTTCAAAGCTGTTGGCACCCATCAGGAGAATGGGGGGAGAAGTGACATCATGCAGAACATGACCTCATGAAGCAACTGATGCAAACTATATCGCTGGCATCATTTGTGTGATGACATCATGACCCATGTGGCTTCTCCGAAGCATAAATATCCAAGACTTACTAAAACTATTTCTTGTCCTGAGTCAATTAAATGCTAAATATGATGGATCATATTTGAAATATTGGCCCTTTTAGATGCATTGGAGTAAATTTATAGTAATAACCCTTCCTATATTAACAGTTCAAGTTCATTTTGCTTATAGTCAGACTTCTGTCCTTGCAATCTAGACTGGGTACAGTTAATCCAAGGAACGAGAAACTGATTAAGAGAATTTATTACAAGAAAACTTAAAGTTACAGCACTAGAATTCCAGCAAGTGCCATACTGGCAAATGAAACACCAATATATAAGCAGTTTGGGGGGGGGGGCAAATCTCTTCTATACAAAGGAGAGGGCTGGAAGCTTGCCTCTTTTGTGAAGATTGAAAAACTTGCATCTGTTCACTGCTGGTCCTCTTATCTGCCTGAGATGTGACTCATATTGATGTCCCATATTTTTTATTAGAATATAGACAATGAAAGTCAGAAACTTTATGAGTCAAATTTCTCCTGATTTCTTTTCTTAAGTGGTTTGAAAGGCCCCACGGCAATGGCAAGAATTCTTGTTAAGAGAGATTTGCTTCTTGCTGGTTCATTTTCATTTTCAACTGCTGGTACAGAGTTCTGACACTTCCACATGCAGAGGGTAACATGCATTGGATCCAACTATAATTCCTTAAATAAAACACATCTTTTTTCTGGGATTGTGCTACTATTGTGAAGGACAGACACTGATCCCAGGAATACTCACAGCTACCTTAAGGAGGTTCCAACAGATACTATAGGATCATCCCCTTGTGCACTCTGAAGCACCTTTTTGCCTTCCATCCAAAGTCCTGAAGAGCTGTACCAAAATTTCCAAGCTGATTCATCAAGTTCAGTTCCCCAATCCTCTTCCCAACTTGAACGTGGGCATCCACAGAAGATGGGCAAGAGAGTGCCAGTGATGAAACGTTTCACTGTTAGGTCTTCATAACTCACCAAAGGAGAGTGGAGAGAATGTGTACCATCAAAAGTAGCGCTGGGAAGCACTTTGGATTCAAAGGGGGGAAAAGAGTGAGAGTGGATTCTCACATTGATAATGAGGCTACTAAACATGGGTAAACTTTGTCCAGCTGCAGGCTGACCCATATTCTCAGAAGCAGCAGACATCCTTCCATCTCCACTGAAAGTGTGGGCAAAAAAAAGCTAGAAGCTTTGACTCACCTATATATAGAAGGTTCACATTTGAAAGCAAAAGAAACATGTGTCGTGACATCATAACACAAACTATGTGATTTATATACTTGCATACAACTTTGACACACATGTACTGTACAAAGGTTGGGGGTTGCATCTTATCATCCCAATATATTTTTCAAGATAATCATGTTCTTATGGCTTGTACCAGCCAGCTATCTTCCCATTCTGGTTTTCAAATTCTGAAGAATTTGTTCTATATATTATAAGAGTATTCTGCAATATTGAACACATTCTTTTGATTTTAAAAAACACTTAAGCCAAAGCTGGATGACCTTCCAATGCTATGATTCTATGATGACCATTGATCAGGAACACTGGAGTTGGCAAATGGTTGACCTCAATTATCTTATGTTCAGAATAAAATCAGCAAAAGCCCACTGGCCAAAGCATTTTGGAAGCAAAGTGCAGCTTTCAAAGGTGTTAACACAAATATTTTTCCCCTGCTAAATAAACTTCAATTCAGATGAGCTAGTAAAAGAACATGGAAAATATGCTTTATTTTGAATGCCATGATTCCATGGGCTGAAGTCCTGCAATGTCAAAAGGACTTGGCTACTTCAAATTAACTTTACATAGAGATTATTTTTTATGAATAAAACTGGAATTTCCTGAAAAGCCAGTTTGTCCTTTGCTAATGAGCATCTCCTTGTCCTCCATCTCTACTGCATATTTTGCACACTCACACAGACATACACACAGACTCTGTCACAAATGGCCTTTTGGTCTCCTGGTTTCCAGCTCCCACCTAAGGAACATACTGGATAGAATGAAAAGTAATAGGCAGTGGCAGACAAGTAATTCTTGGTTGGTTGGGGTTTTTTTCCCCAGATGCAGAAAAGTGCACCAGGTGTCCAGATGATCAGCATCCAAATGAGGACCAAGACCAATGTGTTCCTAAAACTATAACTTATTTGTCTTATGAAGAACATTTGGGGATAATCCTGGTTTCCTTTGCGGTGTTCATGTCCTTAGTCACAGGCTTTGTACTGGGAATCTTCATTAAATTCCTAGAAACTCCAGTAGTTAAGGCCAACAATCGAGACCTCTCCTTCATCCTCCTGGTCTCTCTCCTGCTTTCCTTCTTCTCCTCCTTCCTGTTCATCGGCCGACCAATTCAAGCAACATGCTTCTTCCAACAAATGGTCTTCATCATCATCTTCTCAGCTGCCATTTCTTCAATCTTAGCCAAAACTATCACAGTGGTGTTGGCCTTTTTGGCTACAAAGCCAGGAAATAAGATGAAGAAATGGCTGAGGAAGAGCTTGGCCAACTCCATTGTCCTATCTTGCTCAAGTGTCCAAGTTGTTATTGGTAGCATCTGGCTGTGGACCTGTCCCCCATTCCCTGACTACGACATGCACTCTCAGCCTAAACAGATTGTCTTGAAATGCAATGAAGGCTCTGTCGATATGTTTTATGGTGCCCTTGGCTACATGGGTTTCCTGGCCATCATCTGCTTCATGGTGGCTTTCCTGGCCAGGAACCTGCCTGGGGCTTTCAATGAAGCCAAGCTGATCACCTTCAGCATGCTGGTCTTCTGCAGTGTCTGGGTGTCCTTTGTGCCTGCCTATCTGAGCACCAAGGGGAAATACATGGTGGCCATGCAGGTCTTCTCCATCTTGGCCTCCAGTGCTGCCCTGCTAGTCTGTATCTTCATCCCTAAGTGTTACATTATTATACTAAGACCAGAGCTGAATGCAAAAGAATATCTTAAGATAAAATAAATTAGGAAAATGATTGTTATGTAGCTGCTTGTCAAAAGTTTTGTTTAAAAAGTCCAAGTTTATGTTCCTAAAAAGTTTTTTTATAAGTCATAGTCATGACAGAAATTAGCTACCAATTTTTAATAAATACGATTCCCCCTTTCTCTTTACTCTTGAGTCTATAGAATTAATTGCAGGTAATATAACTCTGAGTGTATAAGCCCTTAAAATATTGTTTCAAAAGTTTTCCAGTTTCACTCATGCTCCAGAATTGTGGCTATAGGCATCATCTTATTTATTTATTTATTTATTTATTTATTTATTTATTTATTTAATTGGATTTCTCCGCCGCCCATCTCACTCACAATAGGGGACTCTGGGTGACTTCAACTAATCTTCAATTAGTTCCACATTTATATATGCTTTAGTGGTTGGTTCCAACTTTCCTATTTGAATTTGGAGGTCCACCTGGATTGACATGAATGGCATGAAATGTTGAATGGCAGATTCCTTGCCTGATTTGATTTTGAGATCCAATTTTGTATTTCCCAGTTTAACTCCACATTGGTTTTCTCCAGGCATATGGGAAGTTCCATTGGTCAAATTTAACTTTTTGGGGGGCGGGGGGGGTGCCTTCAATTCAGTGCTGACTCTTGGTGACTGTCTGGACTAATCCTTGCCATTTTCCTGGCAAGATTTTCAGAAGTGGTTTGCCATTGCCTCCTTCCTAGGGCTGAGAGAGAGTGACTGGCCTAAGATCACTCAGCTGGCTTTGTGCCTAAGGTGGGACTAGAACTAACAGTCTCCCAGTTTCTAGCCTGATGCCTTAACTACTACCCAAAACTGGCTCTCTTAAGTCTAATTTAGGAGCTAAAAAAGTGTATTTCAACATGTGGATGAGAAAGTCTCCCAGCACCGAGAGACCTAAAGGGCCAAACTGAAGATAGATCATTCTGAGAGAATCTATCCATGTAACCACTAAGAGTCAACACTGATGGTGGCAAATCAATCCATCAGTTAAACAGCAAAGGATATCCTTCCATAGTCATTATGATTATCAGCAGGAATAGCTCCAAAGAATACATCTATCTACACACACATATATACACACCTTCCACAGGTAGATGCTATTCTGATCTAGTATGAACACCCTTGTTGCAGCTGTCAATTGCTCCTTAATGGAGCAGTGCCTTTTCTTCAACTCACACCATGGCTGTGTGGTCTCAGAAAGTGAGGACTAGAATCCAGGAGTCATGCCAGGGATGCAATGCTTTGCAATCTTTGGCCCAAGAGTTGGGCATGAAGGACAGTTGTGAGGTTTTTTTGAAACCACACCCCATCAGTTTGACCCAGACTCAAGAGAGACGCAAAAGCACTGCATCCTCGACAGGGATTTTTTTAAAGATTTTTTATCCCACCTTTATTATTTTTATAAATAACTCAAGGTGGTGAACATACCTCAGACTCCTTCCTTCCCCTATTTCCTCACCACAACAACCCTGTGAGGTGACTTGGGTGGAGAGAGAGTAACTAGGCCAAAGTCACCCAGCCGGCTTTCATGCCTAAGGCGGGACTAGAACTCACCGTCTCCTGCTTTCTAGCCTGGAGCCTTCACCACCAGACCATCTGGCTCCCTTTCTTTCATATCTCCCCATAATGGATGGGGGAGACTTTTTATTCCGCAAAACCAAGGTATTTTATAAAAGTGAGCTGTAAAACTCAACTATATACACAAATATATATGTGAGCGCTTTATCTAGCCTTGACGTCCTGTTGTTCTAATATCCTATCTCTAAATCAGTGTTCTTAGTGCTAACCTTCTATGTGAGTGTTTGGTCTATTTTCTATTATATAGAATTCTAATATATTCCCCAGGTGGCTGGGGAATTCTGGGAGTTGAAGCCCACACATCTTAAAGTTGCCAAGTTTGAGAAACACTGGTTTAGAGTTTAGTAGAGGCAGATCATCCACCTGGCTGCTGTGCCTGTTTTCCCCAGTATTTTGCTGGCAAGGTCACTAATTTTATCACGAGTCTTGATGCTTCCTGGACAGAGTCCAGAGTGGTTCCTCCCGTGATGCATCGCCATATTCTCTAGGCTTCTGTAGGCCCTGTGAACATTGATGAAAAGGATAGGGGGCTTTCTAGTATGTCCCCTGCCACTTGTGGGTTGGATCCATACCCCACTTGGCTCTTTTGGGGGGCAGGTAGGAATGTGTTCGGCTGGATCAGTCAAGCCTCATTTTTTATTTATTTATTTATTTGTTTGTTTGTTTATTTATTTATATTTATATAGCCGCCCATCTCACACTAGGTGACTCTTGTGTGAAATGGGTGGCTCATTGCAGGAGGGGGGTGATGCCTGCAACCTTGAAGGAGGCTATGGTGCACCCCTTCTTTAAAAGGCCCTCCCTAGGCACAGCCAATCTTGACAGTTATCACTCAGACTCCAACCATCCTTTTTGGGGGGGCGGGGGAGGCGTTGAGAGGGGAGTGGAGAAACAGGTATGTATACAAACTTTTTAAATGAAGGCTCTGTTTTTATCTCTTTTCCTTAAAAAGCCCTTGATATTTCCCCCCATTTTCCATGTCAATTCCTTAGAAGAAAAAGACACTATAACAACTTTAAATGTTCACTTCATAAGCATGAATTGGCTTGACTTTTTCTAGATTTCCACAGTGCCTTGAGGGCCCCACGACTGAAGGAAGAAGCTTTCTAATCCTGCTTTGTAATCTTGGCTCACTCCGTTGGGGACTGTGATTCAGCTACCCTCATCTGTCCAAGAAATGCACAGAGTACTGTACAAATCGCCCTTGGACGCTGTTCTCTTCTAAATAAGTGAAGTGCTTTTACTCCTCCCAAGAAATTCAACTGCCTTCCCAGGCATCTGGTGCTTTCAATATTTTTGTTCTTAAGAGCGGCAAAGAGCAGCATTTCTCAATCTCAGCAACTTTAAGGTGTATGGCTGGCTGGGGAATTCTGGGTGTTGAAGCCCATACATCTTAAAGTTGCTGAGATTGAGAAACACTGCTCTAGAAGATCCAGGATTCAGACCTCAGTATGGGACAGAAACAGTATCGGTTGCACATGTGCTAAAGCTTTGGAAATCAGCAGTACTATGTGTGAGTGCATCAAAACAGGCAAGAAAGAGGATGCAAGGTTGCAGTCCAAGCCCTGCTTCCTTTCTATGTGCATGCATATAGAAATGGGACTTGGGTTGGATACCAAGCCCACCATCTTGCCCATCGTGACTCTCCCCCATGGATGCTATTGCTGAGATAGCTTCATTTGGGTTCCTGCATTAAGGAGCAGGTTGACCTCCACAGCCCAAGTGGTCCTTTCACGCAAGGCTTCCATGAGTCTTCCCTTACTTACAAGTAACCACAGCGCAAACATGCCACGCAAGCTCTTTATCCTCATGACACTACTGTCATCCCATCCTGGTCCATATCAGAGGCAGACTGAACTCACTACCTGTAGCATTACACTTTGAAAGTGGTGCTTTTCCTTAACCCAACACAATTTTTGACATGGATACCATGATGAATACCATGAGACTAGGCTGAAGCTGCAATAACTAAAGAGGAAATAGGCACGTCAGCAGAAAGGATAAAAAGCCCGGAATTTCGTTTAAAAGATCCCTTTGGGGAGGAAGATAAGAAGGAAACAAATTGTCAAGGAACAAAGGAAAAAAATGTCACCTGAACCAGACAAAGGAAGTTGGGCCTGAGCACATGGGAAAAAAACCCAATCCCAGCGAATCAACAAAGCAAGAACTTTGGGGGATAAAAAGGGGGTCCTGAAGCTCACCCACTCCCTGAGTCGTCTTTAAATCCAGTCTTGGTGGCTTCCATCCCTCTAGCTAGTGCCTGGCAGCCTGCTTGAGAAGGACAGGGCAAGTGTGCATGAGTGTGTGTGTGCGTGTGAGAAAGAGCAAATGTACATTGTAACCAGTAAAGTTTGTTGTTACTTTAAATTCACTAGGTCTCCATGTATTCCAAAGAACCCGCTGTGCCTCAGTGTTTGGTTGAAAGTGAGTTATGTGTGTCCGTAATTATTTCCCAGCTGTTGACCAGGGCTGTGTGTCTTGCCTGCTCTAGCCACCCTACTTGGAAAACCCAGGGAGAAAGCAAGGGAGGCTGACAAGATCGGCGTGCCTCAACAGGCTGCGAGTGTGTGAGTGAGTGACCATCAGCTGAACCTGGGAGCATGTGTAACAATACCATCCAACAACTGGGATTAGCCCAGTTCCTATTGGCCACTATAAGCTGGTTTGGACATGCCCCCTCCCCTCCAGTCCCTGGAGGCTTCTCCTTTCTCTATATCCAATAAGTCTCCAAGCTAATCTTGATTCAGAGATGTGGAACAGCCTAACAGCAGCTGACCCATGTCGGCAAGAGGTAACAGCAGTGAAGCAGGAGAAAAACAGACAGCTCTTTCTTCTCCTACTTCACTTACAACTCTCCCTCACCTGTCAGGCTACTTTTGGACATAGGTTTAGTGCTATTCTAGAATAGCACTGAACTTGTATTCAAGGGTAGTCCAGTTATCAACTGGTATCAGTTGATAATTGGGCTCTTTTTGAACATGGGTTTAAGCAAGCTTCTGGGATAGTGCTAGACCCATGATCAGCTCTGTTTAAACAAGGTCTCAGTGTTTTTTGAATGCACCTGTGCAAAACCAGAGCCTATTTTGAGAGTGGCTAGGCTCACTGGTCTAGCTGTCAAAACCAGCCCCGGCCTTGTTAAGCAGAGGAGCAATGGAGGATCCCCCTCCAGCTGACAAGCTTTGTGGAGAGAGGAGGGAGTTAAAGCCAGGGAAATCCACCAATCCGTTTTTGAAAATAAGGGTAGTACCCTTCACTGGAATTGCACCTGTGGCAAGATAGAGATCACCAATGGGGACAACTAATTTTATGCCAGTATACTTTTCTGCCTGTTTAAGATAATCAAGAATTTGAAATCCAGTGAAAGAGATGCATCTCTATAGATTTTGAAAACACAGGGAGCTATCACGCATTGCCCTAGAGGCAGGAATGAAGCCCTTAGTCAAGAAATCAAACAAACAAACAAGCAAGGTTTACTGAAGGAAGCCATAACTAACTCCAGTGATTCCAGAACAAGTCCTGTCTAAACCCTTTTAAGTTTCATTTTCCTTCTGCCCTTCTTTCCGGCATGTCTCCACACCTGTGCTTTGTTCATGTAACTACTGTATCTAATATGCTATTGTGCTGTTCATCCCTGTTACACTGACCACCAGGAGGCACTATGTGACCTGTTTCTTCCTATGTGGCACTCATCAGATGTGGGTAGCCAGATGTTCTTCTATAGGGTTCAAACCCTCTACCAGGAATTGAACTCACAGACCTTTGCACCAAAGATGATTACATGTACTGCATTATCTTTGGAAGCGATCCAGGTCCTGATACTCAGTGGTGTTGCAGGAAGGGGTCCATAGAATTTATCAGAATGTAAAATCCTGTACACAGGGGCATAATATATTGCAACATCTGTACCTTTCCACTCTGAGAGCTTAAGGGAAGGTGGACAATCTGATAGTATTCAACACTGCTGAATGCCAGAAACTGAATAGCTCTTAAAATTAATGAATTGGATTACCGCAATATTATTTGGACACTATGTGTCTAAAGTGTGAAAGTCCATGAGGTCAATTCTCCATAGAGATTTGAACTCCACTGAAGAACATTTGGCCACGCACCTCTGATTTTCTTAGTAAGGATGAAACTGGTCATCTACTACCTTCTGATGGTCAATGTAACTGAAAATATCACACAGGACATACACTGTGTAAAGATAAACTCCCCACATACAAGATGGAGGAGTGGACGTCTTGTGCATGGGGACATCATGTAATGTGTCATCCATCTCCTCCTGCTCTGAGAGCTTAAGGGAAAATGGACTGCATAAACCATTCAGATAGATCCCTGACTGTGTGATCACTAACTGTGTTACCATAGAGCTGTAGGCGGTTGGCTTTCAAGATAAGCCAAAGCAGTTGCAACCTCCCAAAAACATGGCACTGGGAATGTGTAACATGAATCAATTTTAGCCTAGACTGTGTTCCACATGAAGTTCAATTAGAGTTTAAAATGCAAAGGTAAAGTTTGAGAAGTTGACAAGAGTTTCACTCTCAGTTCAGCTCCCCAGTTGCTCTAGGTCTCAGCTCTGGGCTTGAGTGGCCCAGAAAACACTTCAGTAATAACTTTGCATCAGCGTCTTCATGCTTCATTCAACATATTCTCACCTGCTGTTCCTTGCTAATGTTTATGGCTCTCAATTACAGTCTTCCTGGGCCAGGAGTGGAAGCCAGCTTGAGATTTAGAAACAAGCCAAGCAAATGACTGTAATTTGAGTAATTAAAAGGAGAAGAGGTGAGGTGCCTACAATGCGCTGAATTCTGCCTAGGTCCCAGCGCAGGTGCAGAGCTAGAGAAAAACATGTTTACGCCAATTCCCTGAAGGGGTTTAATATGCTAGCAACAGGCAGGCAAAGAGACAGTCGAGTTAGGCCTGCCTTTTTCACAAGAAGTAGAATCTCAAGAGCAATAATACATTTAGCAGCATCGTAAAAAGCAATCAAATGATTATTTTAATGTCTCCGATTCCCCACTGGTTGTGTTGCAATGGAGGAACCTGGAAATTCAGCTTCAAAACATGTTGCTTCCCTCCTGTTTTCTTGGGAGCTTGCCAGATTCAGAGTTTTGTAGAACTTTGAATGCTTTGCTAGCCCAGAGTGCCATTCTCAGCAGTTCTAATAAAAATATTCCCTGAAACTATTTGGAGATGACTTTGGAAATGTTACAGACTTTCTTGAATGACCCCCAAATGCCTTCAGTGGTGCCCTGAACCATAAAGAGACCATATCAAGCTGGGTTCCCATAATCCAATCAAAATTTAGCCAACCAGAATTTTAGCAATTGTATTCTATGTCAGTGGTTTCCACAGGAGGGGCAAGATGGCGGAGAGGGTGGTGTGATGCAAGCCCTGCCCCTTTTGAACGTGCATGTTGATGCACATTCAAAGGGGGTGTCTGCCACCTTCCCCATCTTGACCCCCCCCTTGTTGATGCCACTGTTCTGTGACCCCCTCCACAACTAACCACACTCCTAAACCATGGCATCTTTAACCATGATTTATTGAATGAGCCACAATTGGGTGAGTTTACCCAGCAGGCTATGCTTCTAGCCATGGTTTACAATGCACCACAGCTGGTTCACACAGCATGCTAAGCCCTAGAAACAGCGACTGCAATGCATCCTATATTGGGCTTCTTTGGGAGGCAACCCAGGAGCTGCAATTGGCGCAAACTCATACGTATGAGTTGGAAGAGACCTCAGAGATCATCCACTCCAATCTCCAGCTTGGTGTAGGACCTAAGACAGACAATTATCCATGTCCAATAAATGGGAATGTACCAGAAATAAACAAATAGAGGTGACTGTATCAAGAACCTACTAGTAACTCTGGATTACAAGAACTTCAGGCTATGTGCTATTTAATCCAACAGGCTCAAAGCAATTTAGAACAGGAAAAAAAATACAACATTGAAATTAGAACCAACTGAAAGCGAACAGCAGCTCCCTGAAGACCACCCAGAACATCCAAATCTTAAGCAACAGGATTCCTCTCACCACCCATTTAGGCCAAAGCTCTCCAGAAGAACCAGGAGTTTATTACTGACTCTCCCCAAAAACCAGCAAAGCTGCAGCCAATCTAAAATAACTGTAACAATTGTAATAATATCAAAGTTTATTCTGATTTATCAAAGATTTATTATATAGACCAGCATCATAAAATGAATAGACATGCATTCTGCATATGCATACAGAAAATATAAAAATGTAAAAGGAGTAAATATCCACAGGTAAAGCTAAACAGCTGAAGTTCTTCCAAGCCATGGGAAAAGTACATGTGGACTGGGGACAGCTGAACAGCTTGAAGTGTTAATCTCTGGACAGTGACAGCAACAGCACAAACCTGCCCACTTTTTAGAGGTGTCACTCCATGTTTGGCCTTCAAAACCAACAGCACTCTCTCCTTATCTCACATCCCAGAGCAGTTTATTTGTGCTTAGCTCATTCTGGAGTTACATTCTCTCTTGCTATCATCAGACATTCATTCTGGTTGTTCACATTTCGCAATTCGCATCTTTTTTGAGAGTCATACCTTAGCCACTGGAAATAGCTGACTCCACATTTGGTACCTAGACTTCTAAAGAACTTTCTCTCATCTTGAGCTTCTTTTCCAAGGAATTCCTCCCAGCATGGAATTTTAACTCTCCTTTGAGTACTCCACCCTCTTCCCAAACAGTATCCCTGCCACATTTCTAGGGAATGGCCGCCCCTGATTTTGGTGGGCCTCTTTTGCTTAAAAAATTAAAAAATCACTACAGGGACAAAGCTGTCCTACCATTCTTGAGAACATTGCATGTTGCAAGAACTTCACTTCCAGTGTGTCCACCTTGTTCTATGTCTGGAGGCTAACCACTGGTAAGGCCACCTATTTGACATGTAACACCATGGCTGAAGTCAGATAATTTGGAAAAAGCCATGGCTCTACATAATGGTTAAAGCTCTCTGCCTTAACCACCCCCAGTTGAACTCTCAGTCAAAGGGCGGACTAAGTCTGATCACAATGTGGCATAAAGAGAAGGATGATTTCAACAAGGAGATAGGTTCCTTTGATCTTTGTCCATTGGCCCCTTCACAATGACTCTTTCAACACTTCTGTTTTTTCCAACACGGACAGCATTGAAATAATTGTGTGTCTGTTCCTTCCTGCAAATTAAAGAGTTTCAATCTTCCGTATTTACAATAGGGGCTATAAAAACCCCATGTAGAGAACCTGGGAGATGACCGTGAAGGAAATATGCGACAACCATTATATAAGCAAAGAGGGGTAAAACATTTCTTGGGTCTGGGCAAGCAAGATAGTATTTGGAAGACTTAGGCAGGCTCCTCCCTGATTCACTAGGGTATAAGGAGGAGGGAAAACACAGTCAGGCTTGCAAGATTCTGTTACTATAGCCTATCTCAATAATTGTAATGGTATGTGAGAAAGACTTTGAAGGATGGGGTGAAGAGATGCTGTCAGATAAGAGAGGGCATAGCCCGCAGCTGCATAATGAGTGGAGAAAGAGCCTATGAAGGGACCCTTCATTGCTTCCCAGGCTGTAAAGGAGACAGGAGGAGATTTATACTTTCAGACTTACAAGATTCTGTTAATGTAGCCTTACAGTAAAGTAGAATTATCTCATCTGGTTGTATTTCCTGTGTGGTCTACCTGGGAAGGCTGACAATAATAATGCACAATTCTAATCTTTCTGTGGAGTTAATATTCTGATTTACTCCATCTCATAGGGCTAGCAACCCCCCTCCTTTTTTTAAAAAAAATATGCTGAGTATCTGTCAATACACCATCAGGTTACTGTCAACTCTTAGCAACCACATAGGTTTTCTCCATGACAATCTGATCCATCATCATCTCCTCCATGATAATCTGGTCCATCACGTCTTCCAACGATCCAGTCATTGCCACTGCAACTGAGTCCATCCCTCTTGGTGCTGGTTGTCCTCTTCTTGTCTTTCCTTCCACCTTTCCCAGCATTAGAGCTTTCTCTAGAGAGCTAGGTCTTCAAATAGCGTATCTGAAATATCTCTCAATACAATACAAGGATACAATTCTATACCTTCAACTTTCACAGCTACCTGGTGGAACACTATAGCAGCACAACACAATCCCAAGGGTGGAAGGGTGGGGGTCTCAAGCTGCTTATCCTAGAAGTGCTCTGGCTCTTCAGTCACTGATTGTGTTCTACCCCTTAGGATAGGTGCTTAGTAGTTCTCATGGCTACCACCTAACTCATCTGGGGTCTTCCTCAGAAATCTCCCACTTCCTGCTCTCTGGCTGATGGTAAAAAGTTAAAAAAAATGAAATAATGGATTAACTGCTATACTGTCACCTCCTGGCTATATAATGCTGAGGTGTATGGTTAGAGGTTCAGCCCTTCAATGGGAGAAAGATCAATCTCCCAAGATATGAACTAAATCAAACTTTATATAAAAGAATAAATCGAATATTAAAAGTCTAATTTAAATTTTTTTAAAATACCGACAGCATTCTTGGCAGACCAAAGATGATGCTGATATGCTACTAATAGGATTTCTTCAACACTGCCGTTATTAATAATATCAAGGGGAGAGGGGGGAGAAAGTGATGACAATGATGATGATTTTAAAGAAAATCCTATTATCTTCTGTTGCTTTGGTCCCTCTATATATATATATATAGTTCCCTGGCTTCAAGTGCAGCTCTCAGTCTGGAATTTCAGATTTATATTACTTCATTTGTGAAGACTCACTGATGAGAACTAAGATGAATGCTTTGACTGAAGAACTTTCCAAAGGTCCATGAATTTCTAAGGTTTTTCCTTCAAATGGACTCTTTTATGGGAGTTAAGGGATCTCTTCTCTCTAAAGTTCTTTCCACAGTCCAAGCATTTATATGGTTTCTCTCCTGTATGAATCCTTTTATGGATAGTAAGATCACTGCTCTTTCTGAAGTTCCTTCCACACTCCATACATTTATACGGTTTCTCCCCAGTGTGAATCCTTTTATGCGAAGTAAGAGAACTGGTTGTATTGAAGCTTTTTGCACACTCCATGCATTTATATGGCTTTTCACCTGTGTGGATCCTTTTATGAGAAGTAAGGGAACTGTTTGTGCTGAAGTTCTTTCCACACTCCATGCATTTATATGGTTTTTCCCCTGTGTGGGTCCTTTTATGAGAAATAAGAGAACTGTTTGTGCTGAAGCTTTTTCCACATTCCACACATTTATAAGGTTTCTCCCCTGTGTGGATCCTTTTATGGGAAGTAAGAGAACTGTTTGTACTGAAACTCTTTCCGCACTCCATGCATTCATAAGGTTTCTCTCCAGTGTGGATCCTTCTGTGGGAACTAAGGCCTCTGCAATCAATGAATCTTTTTCCACACTCTGTGCATTTATATGGTTTTTCCCCTGTGTGGATCCTCCTATGGGAAGCAAGTTGATTGCTCTGAGTAAAACTCTTCCCACACTCCATGCACTTATATGGTTTCTCCCCTGTGTGGATCCTTTTATGAGAAGTAAGTTGACTGTTCTGAGTGAAGCTCTTCCCACACTCCATGCATTTATACAGTTTCTCTCCTGTGTGGATCCTTTTATGACAGTTAAAGGTGCTGCTTCCCCTGAACCTCTTCCCACACTCAGTACACTGATATAGTTTCACACCAGAATGGATCCTTTTATGGAAATTAAAGGCACTGCTCCACCTGAACCTCTTCCCACATTCAGTACACTGATATTGTTTCATACCAGAATGGATTCTTTTATGGGAATTAAAGGCACTTCGCCACCTGAAGCTCTTCCCACATTCCATGCATTTATATGGCTTCTCTCCCGTGTGGATCCTTTTATGAGACGTAAGAGAACTTGAGTCACGGAAGCTTTTTCCACACTCTGTACACATATATGGTTTCTCACCCGTGTGGATTATTTTATGGGAATTATAGGTGCTGCTCCATCTGAATCTCTTCCCACACTCAGTGCATTTATATTGTTTCATACCAGTATGGATCCTTTTATGGGAATTAAAGACACTGCTCCACCTGAAGCTTTTTCCACACTCCATGCACTGATAAGGTTTTTCTCCTGTGTGGATTATTTTATGAGAATTAAGACCTCTACAGTCAATGAAACTTTTCCCACACTCCATACACTTATAAGGTTTCTCCCCTGTATGGATCCTTTTATGGGAAATAAGGCAACTGCTTTTATTGAAGCTCTTATCACATTCCATACATTTATATGGCTTCTCCCTTGAGTGGATCCTTTTATGGGAAGTCAGAGAAATACTCTTGCTGAAGCTTTTTCCACACTCACTACATTCATAAGGTTTCTCTCCCACGTTCATTTTTTTCTGTAAAGAAAGAGCCGAAGTCTGTTGGTTATCTTGTCCATCCTCCCTGCATCCATACTGTTCTTCTTTAATATGTGTTCTGGAATGTTGATTTAAATCTATTACATCTTCACATATTTTCACACTTTCCCTTAAACATTTCCTCTGTCCTTTTCCTTTGCCATCTTCTTGCACAAAGAAATCTTGAATTTGAGTGCATTGGACAGTGGAGATTTTCTTTCTTCTGTTTCTTGATAGTGTTCCTCCAGGGCTTTTGGGTTCCATTCGATTTCCAAATATCTCCTTACGCTGTTTCTCACTGAACATCTGGAATGGTTCCATCTCATCCTCTTGTCCTTTGGATCCTTGGAAATGAGAGAATAAAAATACTAAGAGAAAGGAAAGGAAACAGATCAAACCATCAGAAGTGATTGAGAATTTCCTGCTGAAATTCTGCTAATGACTCTCCAGCACAGAGTCAAATAAAGTCATCTAATGTTTACTCATTTTGGACTTGCAAATGGGTTATTACCAAATTTATATATGTATAAAATGGCACAGAAGGAATATTGATCTAATTAATTAATTTAGAAGCTGCCCAACTCCAAAATTACTCTGGGAGGCTTATCATTAACATAAGAAAATAAAGAAAATATTTATAATAAAGAAGAACCTAAGCAACCAGACAGACTAAACAACAACCAATCACCCAGGGATCCACAAACACCTTATCCCAAAGCCTAGGAGAACAGCCAGATTTTACAATTTACAGAACATCATCACGGTAGGAGCTCAGCAAATTCTGAGGGGATACCATTCCAGGGGGTGGTGCTATGATAGAGAAGCCATGCCTTCTGGTTCCTGATATATGGCTTTGCTTGATCGAGGGGACCAAAAGCATGCTAACTCTGCCAGATCTTACTGGATGGGCACAAACCACAGGAGACAGGCAGTACCTCAAATAACCTTGCCCTATGCCAGGAAGGGTTTTATAGGTGATAACCAGTACCTTGAATTGCATCTAGAAGCCTGCTGATGGCCAGTGAAACTCACAGAGCAGTGGTGTCATGCCCAACTCTGCCAGCACTGCTGCATTCTGGACTAGCTGCAGCTTCTGAGTGATCTTCAAGGGTAGCCCCATGTATAACATATTGTAACAGTCTAATTGTGAGGTGACTAAGGTATGAGTGACTGGAGTGCCTTCAATCTAGGAATGGGCACAAATGGCACACTATGTATGAATGAATGGTGAACCTATGCAAAGGCCGTCTTGGCACAGTTGCCACCTGCTCTTTGAGTAGGAGCTGTGAGTCTAAGATACCCCCAGATTGCACACCAGTCTTGAATGGGGAAATATAAACCCATCCAAGATTGACAGAATGTCCCCCAGATCCAGGGGGGCCAAAAAATCCACAACCATTCAGTTTTGGCAGGATTGAGCTGAGTGTGTTGTACCCATCCAGACCAGCATGGCCTCTGGACACTGGGACAGGACACTGACAGAATCACTTGGCCAGTCTAGAGTCATGATATACAATTGGGTATCATCTGCATACTGATGATACCAGACCCTGAACCAGCAGATGACCTCACCTAGTGGTTTCATGTAGATGTTAAACAGGAGAGGGAAGAGTGTCAAGTCTTGAGGCCCCCCACAGCTAAGAGACTGAGATCTCTCTGCCCATCAACAATTGAAACCACCAGTGAAAAAGGAGAACCAATCCAACATAGTGCCCCTGACTCCCACTGAGAGATCAAGGAATACCAGGATGGACATATCCCCCCATCCCAGGTCCACGAAAGATAATCAGCAAATGTGATCAATGCCACCTCTGTACTGAATCCTGGCCAGAAATCTGAGTGAAATGGCTCCAGATAATCAGCTTCCTCCAGGATCCTTTGCAACTGCTGTCAAACTACCTTCTCAACAACCTTCCCTAAAAAGGAAAGTTTGGATACAGGATGATAATTGTCCAAAACCATCAGGATTCTTCAAAGATGAGGCACCATCCTCTCCCTCAAAGAAGCTGACACCTCTGCACTTACCAGCAATATCTATTCTCCCAGGAAGCCTTAACAACCCAGGAACAGCCCAGATTTAATAAACAGGCGGTCAAACTCACAGTTTGGGGGACCCTGTCCACCTCCTCAGGCACCTCAGATTCAAACTCATCTCAGATAACCCCACAAGACTGTGCCCCAGGCACCTCAACTGGACTTGCCCAATTAGTCCAATTCCAAGCAGGTCTGAGCAACTTAATTTGCCGGATAGTAAGAATATTCTTCACAGCAGCCCCGCAGATGTTCCTCTTGCCCATCTCTCCCTTGCAGGAAACAGGTCATTTTACATAGAGCTACTAGACAACTCTCGGCAGATGCAGTAAGGGTGGAGAAACGTTGACGTTCCGCCACCCTTAGTGCCATTAGGTATTCCTGAATATGAGCACTTACTCATGTTCTATGAGACTCATTCTGGGTAGTTTCTATTTTACAACCAGTAGAAACTTTCAAAAAACAGGATTATCTTAAACAAACCTCACGCCTATGCTATTATCATTTTCCTTAGATATTAACTCACAAAATGTATTCCTGTAAGATCTCAGCAGAGGTCAGATCCAAGACACTGAGGGATCGAAAGAAACAAGCTTATAAAATTTGGTCTCAGGATGCCTGAAAAGACAACTGGAGCTGAAGAGAGAAGCAATTGAATTTAGTTTGTTACACATCCTTGCCTGCCTTTCCTGAACTACGACATTCATTTTCCTCTCACTACAACTACATCTTTGCAGAGAAATAATCCCTGGAATTGATGGAAAATCACACGTCTGCACAGGGAAAAACTGGATCATGTGCTTGAGAAAGCCAAGGCTCACCATTATAGAGGAAAAGGGACAATAGCCAAAGAAACTGCCTGAGAAAGCACCACAGCTTGTAGGCCAAACAGGCAAGCACAGGGACCCATACTAACATCATGATCAAATGCCAATATATCTCTAATTGCTGAATTTAAATTAAGACTAAAAAAAAGAAAAAAAACACTAAGAAGAACCACCAAACAGATAAGAAACAGTCACTTGACCCACCTAAGGAGGCAACACGTGATCTCTTCCCTTCCATGGAGCAGGAGAAGACTGGATTTTCTTTCTTCCAGCCAGGAGATGAGATCTGGTTGAGGACTTTTTAAATTAAAAATAGCTGGTTACAACCAACCACAAAATGCCACCTCTAAGTATTAAAGCACAGAAGAGAGGGCTCTTACCCAAAGAGGCCACATGTCTAGCATTCTCTAGCATGACTTCCTTATGGAGGGCTTTTTGGTGAGGATCCAGCTGAGACCACTCCTCCTTGGAGAAATGGACAGCCACCTCCTTGAAGGACACGAGAGACTGAACATGGGGGAAAAAGGGGTTCTCTATTAACAGACAGGCCCAGCAAAGATTTGCGAGTTCAGAAAATGGGCATTTTCTAAAGGTTCCAAAAGTAGGTGAGTAAATGACGCCTTTCACAGCACATTGGGGCACATTTTTATAGAATCTGCAGGACTTCAGGGCCATTCAGTGAAAGAATTATTTTATTTATGTATCAAATTTGCCACCGCCCATCTTGTTAAAAAGTGACTCTGGGCGGTTTACAGAGAAGATAACGCTAATTAAAAACACAATATAACAGTAATCCTAAATAAATAATAAATATATTTGAAGAATTGATGGCGAGTATTAGGCTCAGGGAGCGTCATCAGGGCACCAGCCACCCCCAGGGTTGATTAAAACTCTTATAGCCCCACGCCAGTTGGCAGAGCCAGGTGTTTAGTCCTTTCCAGAAAGCTGGGAGGGTAGGGGCCCGCTGCACCTCTGGAGGGAGAATATTCCAGAAGGCAGGGGCAACAGCAGAGAAGTTCTCTCTCCTCCTGGGCCCAGCCAGCCAACAGTCTCTCGCTGACAGGATCCATAACATACTCTCCCTGCCTGACCAGGTCGGACAGGTTGATGTGATGGGGGTGAGACAGTCCCTCAGAATTAACAGGATTATTCAGGATTAACTGGCAGACAGGTCTGGGACACACACAAATTAGTGGCTGCAATCCTTCCTGTGCATTGGTGGGGACAATTTTAACCAGTTTTTCCTGAGGGATCAAACCTGCCAACTCCCAGCCCCGCCAGAAAGGACGTCAAGACACATCTGTAATATTTTTTTCAATATACAGGTGATTGCCTAGAGTCATTTGGATGAATGAGGTGGCTTATAAATTTAACAGCTAAATAAATAAAATCTGCGGGTTGGTGTCTGCTTCTTATTTGATTCCAGGGAAGCTGAACCAATCCCTGGGTGGGAGATCAAAAAGGGAAGCTAAGAAGTTTCCCTTAACTTTATTGTTGGCATCCAATCATCTGGATGCCTTTAGAGACTTGATTGAAACTAAATCTTACAACACAACTGTTACTTACAATGCAACCAAACCTCTTCTATCCAGCTAATTTCTTTAGAACTTCATAAACTAGAAATAAACCCATTATTGTATTTCCCATATACTCCATCATTTTAAGAGTTTATACTGGACAACCTCTTTCAACATAATTTTTAAAACTCGGATTCCTTTAGCTTTCTCTACATTGTTTTCCAGTGGTACTTTCTAAAATGGAGGTAACCAATCTGATTATTTAACCATTTTTAAGCAATTCTGCACAATGCAAATGCTTTGGGAAGATGAACTTGCAACTTTTCTAAGTGGCTCTTTGTTTTAACTGACAGTATTTATTTATTTAATTTGAATTTATTAACCACCCAGATCCAACAGACTCTGATATATTGGCTAAATCCTGACTCTTGAAAGATAATTTAATTCCTGACTCTTGCAAGATAATTTTTTGCACATGACCTTCATGCGAGAAATCACTGAACTTGTTGAAAAAAATGAATCAGAAAGAATCTCTCAGTGTCAATAGTTTGTTTCCTAAAATTTCCAAAACACTTTTGTGAAATAGCTATGCTGAGAGCGACTGGTCATTGATTTCTACATTCCACTTGCTTAAGAACAACATATTCTACACTGAGTCTAAGAAAAAAATGGGAGGCCTTCTCTGATGTTTCTGCTCCTACCTGTGTTGGAGGTTCAGATGCTCTTTTGACTCTACCAGAAAAAGGAGATGGTCCTATAAATGCTAACGACATCTCTCTGCTTCCTGTCAGGGAGTGAAAAGTAGTAGAATCAAGAATTTTAAAAGCAGAATTAATAAAAATAGGACAATACAGTACTTAGAATACAGAATATGAAAGGTAGCTGGCATCTCTCTGTGAAAATTTCCATCACTTGGAAGGCCTTTCCCTTACCTAGTGAGGTGTCCTGACTGTGATCTTCCTTGGAGAAGCCCCCCAAAAGTGCCCTCTGAGATGGATGTGAGGGACCATCCCTCCTTCCATCAGGACATTCAGCAATTGCCTCCATGAAGGACCTCTGGATCTGATGTACCAGAAGGAGCAAAGAAGGATAAATAACAGAACAGCACACAAAAAGAAATAGATTCTTCTCCTCTGCCCACAACTTCATAGCCCCTTATATGCATTTGTGAAGATGGAAAGTGACTACCACTCCATTGTCCCCAGTATATGCCCTGGAAGGAACAATGGATCAATATATGTAAAGAATTATTTAAATAATGTTGTTGTAATATCAGTGCCACAAAACTCTGGTGGGGAGACATTTAGGAGTTGAAACACAGAATTCATAACATTAACACCCCTTCCAGACTTCCACATTCTCCCACCTGCAACTCTTCCTGCTTCTTGTCTGCCTGGCTCAGCAGGAAGCCCTCAGCCAGGGCCACGGCCTGGGAACAGGTCTCTGCTCCGCACTCCCTCACCCAGCTCTCTATCTCGGGGGGCAGGACGGCCAGGAACTGCTCCAAGACCATCAGGTCCAGCATCTGGGCTTTGGTGTGCTTTTCCGGCTGCAGCCACTGACGACAAAGGTGGGAGAGTTGGCTGCAAATCTCACGGGGTCCCTTGGTCATCTGGTAGCGGACATTCCTGAAGTGCCAGTGATGTATCTCTGAAATGATGGTTTCCTCTTCCAAGACCTCCTGCCCAGATCTTTCCCAGATTTCCCCACAGCTCCCAGGCCAAGCACAATGAGGCCTCTTTCCATCTCCTTCACCTGCCAGTAACAGGGCATCCATAGCGACTCTGTTCTCTAAAAGAGCTTGGAATGAGGCCAACGGAGCTCCTGGATCTCCAAAGATCGTTTCATTCACAAGACCTGAACTGCATGAAAACGGACCGGACAAGACCGATCAGGCTATTCAGCCCTCTCTGCTTAGCTGTTACTTTTGTTTCCAGACAAGTAGACGGAAGAGGCTTCCAATTTATGCATCTGAAGGGGCAAAGAAAGAACCTTCAGGAATTACACAGACCTGAGGGGGGGGGGGGGGGGCTTTTAACCTGTTTGACGGCTCTCCCTATGAGCATGCAGAAGAAAGAAGAGATGTGTCTGGGCTGGCCCACTTTTGGGAAGACACAGGAGGGATCACTTTAGACAAGTGAGGGTGGGTGACTGTCTGCCGGCGGAGAATGTAGGACCTCCAAGCCCCACTTCCATCAAGGACTCAGGAGAGTAAATAAAGGTATTTGGAGGGGGGGTGGAGTGCTTCTGCCTTACCGACAAAGCACCAACCTTCGCTTCTTCAGAGAACAGCCCTCCCTTCTCGCTCCCGCCCAGGCAGGGTTCGCGCAAATACCTGTTAACGGGGAAGGCGATGCCCCAACAAACCAGATCATGGCTTAGCGTGACAGCCTGGTTCCCTCAGCTGCAAAGACCCTCCCTCCGCGCCCACAAACGCCGTCGAAGGAGCCGACCCCCATTTTCGCCAAATCTTGGCTAGGGCGGGGACGCAGCCGCCCCGCAGTCCCGATGCTGCAAAATCGCTCTGATTTGCACGCGTTGCGAAGTCTCCTCTCCCCCCGCCCCCCACCTCCTTCTTCCTGTGGATTCTGGACTTTTTCCTCCCGGCCAACATAGTTAGCGCTGGGCTTTTCCTTCTCCCTCTTGCCTGACCCACGCATAGAAAAAAGACAGCTGGGGGGAAAGGGGCCGCAGGCTCTCTCCCTCCCAAGACCAGAATCCACCTGGGGGCTGTTCTTATTATGTTTTTCGCTCCTTCCCCAACACGCGGCCACTTGGGACTTCCCACGAGCAGAGCTCTGCAGTCACACAGCCCATGTCACGTCTGAACCGCGTTCCTGCAAGAGTTTCCTGCAGCCGCTTCGACTTCGTGGGGATTCCGTCAAAGGGTTAAAAGGAGTGAGTGTAAAGCCCTAGAAAGGCAAGCGTTTCCGTGATGCCACTCACTTCCTTCTACCCTCTGAAAATCCCAGGTCACGATATTCCCCTTCGGTGGCCGAACGATCTGGCGCATGCTCAGTTCCCTCGTGAAGTTCTCGGGCTGCCAGTCCTGATATATTGCCGAGGGAGCACCCTAGTGGATTCTGCGCATGCTCACTTCCTTCCAGCGTTCGGAGGCGGACGGTTGTGAGGCGATTTTGTGGGTCCTGCTCTCAACGCCAGGAGAACTTGCAAGGAATGGGGGAAGAGGTGAATTTTCCATGGAGGGCCAGGGATGATGGGAGCGGGAAGAAAGCACCCCTTGAGGGGAAGGCAGAGGCAGGGCTTGGAAGCAGGCCCTGAGGCGGGGATTTCTCCAGAAGGGCCCCCAACTCACCTTCTACACTGCCCCCACCAACCATCCGTTATTTTAATTCGTCGGTTTCTGATTTTTCTTGAAGGGGATGGATTGGAGAGATCTGAGGAGCTCACTTGCTCTAATCTTTAGTCCACATACTTTATTGCACGCTTCTGTTCTGCTAGTCCCCACGAGTCGTCACGGATTCGCCAGTGATTTAAGAAATAAATAAATTCACATTCTCTGGGCAAGAGGAGGCCAGCCCGATAGTCCTTAAACAGCAAAACGCTTCAGAATGTTACCTCAGAATTGCACGAGAGCGAAAATGTTTTCTGGATTTTTGTTTGGTATGTTCCTGTATTATGTTATTTTTCATTATTTTATACTGTATGCCTCCCAGAGTCAGGCAGCCTATAAATTTAAACGATAATGATAATAAACAATAAAGAATTAAGGCAACAATAGTGAGCGACTCCAGAGGAAAAATGGAAACCTTTGTAAAGGAGCAAAACGGACAAAAAGCAAAGTGACAGCCAAAGATTGGAGCAAGAATGATGCTCATTTAATGACATAATGTTAACCAATTAAAATGTATTTAATGTAACCGATTAAATGAAGTATTTGAATTTGCCTCAGAAAATATAAATAGCAAAAGACTTATTTAATTACGTGTTTTGGTGCTTTTTTTTTTACTGCAAACTGCCTCAAGATGTTTCTATTTATGAAGCAGTAAGTATGTATAGAATCATAGTAATAATTATTTAATATTTGATTTTATTTTGGCATTGAGCCAAATCACTCCAGAGCGATTCTGTGTGGCTCCCAATATAAAACTAAGTATGAATAAAATAACATAGTAAAAATAAAGTAAGAGAAATTAAACAGTGAGAGTCCAGACAACAACATCAACCCAGAAACAAAAAAAATGCAATAATTTCTAACAATGGGGGAGGGGTCATCCAACAACAGGAAGAATATTAGCAGAGGTAGTAATAAGACTAAAGAATCCCCTGAGATCTAAGGCAGCCTATGTACCTTGAGATCGTAAGGGAAGCGAACTGCCACAAGGGAAAAAGAAAAAAAATAGTTCTAGATAGGATACTAGAAAATGTAGGAAACAGAAAATACCCCATGGGTTGAAGAGACTCTGCATTTGGAGATGGGAGTGAAATAAAGAGAGAAATTCAGCTACAGTTAAAGAAAAGAGACACAACAGGAGAAAGAACTCCAGTGAAAAACATAATGGATGAAAAAGTTACTCCAAAGCTGCAGGAAACTTTTTTTTTTTAAGTCAACCTCCCCATTTTGTGGAAAAGTGGGGATGTAAAACTGGCTTCCTTTCAGGTCAGGATCACTTTGGATTTTGTTTTTGCCAATTTAATATATTTGAAGAAGCTTTTTGTTCTTGTTTTCTGCATCCTTCAGCAACATCAGCTCATTTATCGATAAGTACATTATAACTCCATGGGTGGAGTTTGTTATGTCTTGTTTCAAGCTGGTCACTGATGTTACCTATCTTTGCGTGGGACCTCAACAAAGTGAAGTTGGTTGATTCCCTGACATTATTGGCTGGCCAATATCACCTAGAAGTGTCTTGATTCCAAGCAATCTTTCAACACAATTTTTATGGAGAAACTTTTCCAGCTTGCCAATTAGAGTTTATAATCTAGTCACAATTTATTTATTGCTTTTCACTTCTCATCCACCATGTCCAGGGATTTAACATATGTTAATGTGTCGTATTATTTAACATTATTTTAAATCAGATACATCTTTCAATGCCATGTTTAAATGATACTAAACTAAGGTTAGCAAATTCAATGATTTCATCATTTTTAGCAGTTTTCCATGAAGCAGATCATTTGGAAAGGTGAGATCTAAATCTTCCAAGCAGATAGATAGTAGAGTGTCTCCTTGTTTTCACTTCCACTATGTTTTTACTAATTTTGTTCTTGTCTCCTGAACAACCTTTTTAAAAGTAGTTATTTTATACAACTTTATGTGCAAGAAAAGAAACCACTGGATTTTTTTTCATTGATTAGATGTTCTACTAATAAACAGTGACTAGCTCTATTTTATCTCTCAGTATCTCCACCTGATCTGAGAGATCTACTAAGCAGAAAGTGACTGGACTATTCCACATTCCATGTTGCTTAGAACAGCAAATTGTACACTAGAATAAAATAGGGAGCCTTTCACTGGATCAATGCCTCTTCTTTGATGTTTTTCCTCTTACTTAAGTTGGACGTTCAAAAGCTCTTTTGGCTCCATCAGAAAAAGGAGGTGATCCTATGAATACCTATGAGTGATGTTGTTCTGTTCCCTATTAAGGAGGAAAAAACATTGGGGCAGAATTTTTAAAGGCATTATTTATTTAAAAAATTGAAGATATTAAACAGTGTACATGAAAAGCCAGAGAATGAAAATTAGCTAGAGTCTCTCTGGACAATGACCCTAGAACTTTCCCTTACCTGATGAAAGTAGAAGCCCTCAAAAGTGCCCTCTGAGATGGATTTGAGGGACCATCCCTCCTTCCATCAGGACATTCGGCAGTTGCCTCCATGAAGGACCTCCAGACCAGAGGAGCAAAGGAGGAGCAAAGAGGGGAAATAAGGGAACAGCACACAAAAAGAAATGGATCCTTCTTCTCTCCCTATACCTTCAGAGCCCCCTATGCGTATCTCTGGGGAATGAAAGCAAGAATTGAACAATTGCATCAAACATACATTATGGAAGAAGTGAGGGAACTTCATTAAACCATCTAATTGTATTATAAATGCCAAGAAACTCTGGCTGGGAATCACTTAATCATTCTAAGTTAATATTCATTATGTTGACACCCCTTCAGAGCTCCAAGACAAAATTCTCCCATCTGCTCTTCTTGCTTCTTGTCCTCTGCCTAGCTCAGGAGGAAACCTTCAGCCAGGGAACTGGTCTCTGTTCCACACTCCCTGATCCAACTCTCCATTTGGCAGGATGGCCAGGAACTGCTCCAGGACCACCAGATCTAGCATCTGAGATGTTGTGCTTCTTTTTAGTTGCAGTCACTGATGGCAAAGGTGGTAAAGTTGGCTGCAGATGTCTGGGGGACCGTCATGCCCGCTGGCATTGTCCATTAATTTTCTCTGTGTTAGTTTCAAATGGGGTGAACAGCTCTCCTGGATCTCCAACTATCTTTTCCTTCATAGGACCTGAACTTCATGAAAAGCCCTCGGACAAGTCTCACCTGGCCATTCAACCCCTATGCAACACAAGGTGCTTCCAGTTTATATATCTACAATGGAGAAGGAAACATACTTCTGAAATTACAAGGCACACAATGAAGCAGTGAACAATACCCTAATGAAGGGACTACCTGAGGAACAAAACAAAAGCCCCACTCCCACCAACACTGGCAGGGCATGCCACAGTATATAAACAGAGTATCAGATTCAGTCGGCATGGCACAGCGAATGCCACTGCTCAGTTTCACCGCCCCTGATCAATTTCACCGTCCCAGGCACAGGCAGCGGAAAAGGGGAAGTCAGCCGAACCGCAAGTTAATTGCCAACCGGTGGCGGCGATTAACTCCACAAGTTTCATTGGAGCTGAATGTGGTAACTCTTACATAAGGCCAGGGTTCACCCTTGAGCACTACCTGGTACTCACTGAGGAGCGCTCGCGATTTTGTTTGTAGAGCAGCTGAGGGGCTTCGATCCGTTCGATCTCAACAAGGATGGCCAGTGACGGAGAGGGCGCGAGCTCACCGTGCGGGGAGCAGCCCAAGCCTGAAGGCACAACGGCAGGACCGGCCCGGAGCAAGGGGCATGGGGAAGCAGTTGAGATCGCGCCGGAGGACACCAGGTGGTCGTTTGGCGTTGGGATGGGTCCCGACAGATCGGCAGGGTGGGGAATCACAACGAGCGGTGGCTCGGGATCCAAAAGCCGAGAGCTGGAGGAGAGAATGACCCAAATGAAGAACAACTTCCAGCAGCAACTGATGGCCATCCAGACCATGCTGCAGGCCATCATTCATGGTCCCAAGGCCCTGACTAGAGAGCCCCAGGCGGTGGAGGGGTTGGCCAAGGCCAGCACCAGCCCTGTGCCCCAACCAGCTCTGAGGACGTGCCATGTAGGAGGGGCATTGGGAGACCAATGAGCAGTAGACGTGCTCTGATTCCGGGGCATGAGCAGCAAGTTCTTGGGGGACCCCGAGCAACTACCCTGTTTCCTCACACAGGTGAGGAACTTCATGAGGCAGAGCGGGTCGCCTACATGGCCAACCCATTGGAAGGACGAGCAGTCGGGTGGGTCGTCTGCCTGTACAACGCCAATGCAGCAGAACTCGAGAATTTCCTGGAGTTTATGCAGGCACTCCGGGACCAGTTCGAGGACACGCTGAGTGCCAGGTGGGCCAGGGACAAGATCCAACGGCTGTGACAAGGAGAGAAATCGGTGGCAGAGTATGCCCTGGAGTTTCAGTGCCTTGCCGAAAAGCTCACTGACTGTCTAGAGTCCCTGAAAATAGACTGCTTTCAGAGTGGACTCCACCCAGAGATCCTGGAGTGGGTGCTCGGGCAGAACGACCCAACGACACTGAAGGATTGGATCTGGCTAGCCGGGGT